CACTCAACTTCAGTGAGGTTTCACATCACAGCTAGACTTCTATCCCCAATCAGCTTTTGGCAAGAGATACAGGGACTTCTCTGCTTTCCTACTAAGCTAAAGCAGCTGCTCCTGACTATACCCAGACCTGATCAGCCACCACCCAGCAAAACTCCCAGCTGAAAGGAAGGAGATCACTGAGGAAGAGCTGGAATCACAGGGTGTGGGAAAGGGATGAGTGCTGCTGAGTTATGGACATAGTTTGTTTCTGCCTTGTAAGGGAGAAATTAAGATTGAAACAAATGTGAGTCATCTCTCTAAAATGAATTTGGAATATATTAAAATGTTACAAAAGAAATATCTCAGCCTTCCCTCACAGACACACACGCTACATAAATATACAGTTGAACTCCAAAAATCTGGAAGCATTTTCAATAGCTTTCAGAGAAAGTCACACATGGATATCCCCCAGTAAAATACAGCCCTTTCACTTACGGTTTCAAACTACTCTGCTCCTACAGAAACAAAAACCAAGGCAGTAGATGATCACGATTTAACACCAGGGCATGTCTAGAGTCTCAGGTCTTTGGCTGCCTAACCCATTAACCAACACACAGGACAAGGAGCTGTTCCAGTAACTCGGCGGGTGTGCTCAGCGTGCTACGCCTTTTGTTTCTCATGCTGAAAATGTTCTGGTGGAACTGAAGCATAATTCCATTTGCTGTGCATGATGTATTTATATACAAAGGATGTATTTATATACAAAGAATAAAGTAAACCATACTTTTGGGGAGGTTTTATTCATTATGGTTTAAAATTTCTTATTACCATGCCTTTTGGAGGAACACTCCTGTACTCCTAAGGGCCATCAGCAATAGTTTGTGCAAATTAGATATTTAATGAAGTTATAAATACTATATATTTACTCCTTATCGTATAATTATGAAAAAAAAGATGTCACAATTTCTAGAAATACCAATAATTTAAATATGGAGAGTGATGTCATCTACTAGACAGGTCCTCAGACTGGAAATTAAGACCTGTAATTACTTCCATTGCTGAAGCTTGCAAGTCTTTAGACTGTAATCTCTCAAGGGTCAGTGCAAGCATATCACTGTTAGGAATTCAGGGCTGAAAACCAGTGTTTTCTCTCCCAGAAGCGTGATCCAAAATGCAAACCTCCTCTGCAAAGAGCTGCAGTAGCTAATGGACACTGCTATCAGAAGCAGGACTTCTTAGACACAGCTCTCCAAGCAGTATGAGAAACAGGCGATGGAAAGGGAAGAAAGTGTTTAAATACCAACTTACGAGTGCAGGGCATGGACGCAGCATCATTTTCAGCTCGGAAAAAGCCCCGATCGCAGGTGCAGGAGGTAGAGCCTTCCCAGATGGAGTAGCTGTGAGGCGGGCATTTGGCACACGCAACATCTGTCGAGAGCGCCTTGTAGTATCCGATTTTGCAAGCTAGAGAGAGGGACAGGAAGGGAGAGTGTTACTTGCCCAGACTGTGGCCATAAATCTCTGCCTTACTTATTCAAAATCAAGGCAGGAGACATTTCAAAAGGATCTAATGATGTCCTCTTAGCCCCAGGTGAAGAATTAAAATCATCATACTCTTAATGAGTACTCCTATGTCAGGAGATACCAATTTCTAATTCCAACAAGAGCCATCTTGGCTTGGAGATGGCAAAAAAAATTATGGACTTGTGTTGACGCTGCCAGAAAATCAGCTGCCTCTTTGTGCTTACTGTGGAGCTGCACGCTGTTTAACCCACGTCCACCTGCATTCACAGACACCAGAGCATGCAACAAAAGGGTGCAATTGCTTCATTCTATGACCGCTTAAGGAATGGCAGCTGACAGCCAGACCCTGCCAATTTTTAAGAGGGAATAAGACAGGAACCCACTGTGATTGGCAGCGAGGCCATGTGCCTGACATGCCCGGAAATGGCTCATCTCCCTCCTGGAAAGGCAGAATTAATTTGGCTCCCGATCCCCAGCAGAGGAAATCAGCAGTGCTCTCCCCTCCCCGAAGCCAGGACTCATCACTGACTGCACCACTGGCATGAGGTCCCATGTGCGGCTTGGCAAGCTTTCCATGACATCATCTTTGTAAGTGCAATGCTTACACGGATGGGTACTTTTACATCACTTGGAAAAAACTCATTAGTATCATTAATAACACATTTTAACAGTGGCTAACGCGTATGCCATCTCAGAAATTTCTCCCTTGGCTCGAGATAAAAGCCAACCACCACCCTGCTTTCAGCACTACGGACAAAGAGAAAACACGCAAGTACACAAACATGTACAAAGGAAAGGTAGCTCCAGGCATTTGCTGCACTACTCCCACTCATGTTTGGCCACTGATCGCTGCCCTAACACCAAGTCCCCCTCACACGTTGCCATTTATCACTGCCCTAGTGCCACGGTCCCGTCTCCCTGCCCAATGCAGTGCGCAGTTCCCACCCGGCCCTGTCCAGCTCAGGCTCCTTCTCCTGCTCACCTTCCATCAGCTGCTCTCCTTTCCTTCCCCTTCTTTAATGAAGCTGTCCATACTGGGAACGGGGAGGGGTTTAGTAACACATTTATAAACCAGCAAGTTGCTTCCCTCATTAACCAAAGCCATTTCTGGAATTTCCCTAACGAGCCCTAACTTTACGACGTGCCGTGCACCATCTGCAGAAGCGCTGGGAGACCGGCTCGCTTTTGCTCGCTTTGGCTGCCACTGGACCAGAGAATCTTATAAAAACACACTGCTCAAATGACTGAGATTTATGCTTCCGGAGTTTACACACATCGCACAATTAGATAAGGTTCAACTCGCAAGGTGCTTTCTGGCCCTGCTTCAAATGGCTCCGGGGCTTCAAGGAGAGTCAGAAACCGTAGTGCTGGCAGGAGGAGTGGTGGGGCCAAATAAGCAGCGTGCCCCCAGCACGGCACAACCCTGGGCACAGCCTGTCAGCTGGGCATAGCCACGGCTCCTGCTTGTGAAGTGAATGGATCAGGAAAAGGAAAAAAAAAAAAAAAAAAAAAAGAAAAGGAAATTAATTTTCCATTCTCTGCAATACGTGGTGAACGAGCTGTGCTATTGCTACAAGCCCTCCTGCAGCCAGCTGAATAGCAGCTGGTTCTGAGCTGAGATCTCAGTCCTGGTTCTGCTCTTCTGCCTCAGCCCAGTAGCACAGTCAGTACAGTGGGAAACAGGAGTCCAAGTGGAGAGCACACTAACTGCTTCCGTCTGCTATTCAAGGGTTTCAAAGAATAACACATGAACTCTAACATTATTTTAATATGAGCATGATTGTTCACAGAAGTTATTAAATGAAGAGCTACATTTTGCATTTCCCCAGTATTAGAGCACTCTGATGGTGTTGTTCACAGCTGCAAGCTCTGCACTGACTCCAGTGTTTTACTGGAAAGGTAGAAAAACGGAGCAGGGTTGAGGATCCTTCCTCTGCTCACTCCCTTTACAGGTAATAGATGGATGCAGTGGGTACTGCAAGGTCAACAGACTGTAAGTCAAGGATTTTTCCCCTTTGTTTGAAGCACTGTATTTTGCTTTCTACTATATTAAGCCACAATCATTAATATTTCAAGACCTGAAGAAGGCTCTCCCAGTGCAGTGACTGCTCTGAAGCGCACACAGCCATTTTGCTCCAGCTGCACAGAGCCATCGGCTCTCCTTGCTTCCGTGTGCTCTGAGATTCACCACATTTCAGCACGTGGCACAAAACTGCATTAGAGAACACGCTGCACTAAGGCAGAAGTCTTTACTCCCAGAGCTCGGTGGCACTGTCACTTCTTGGTTAAATCTAATCCTGCTAGGGCAGCTCCACACAAAGCCCCACAGCCGCAGCCATGACCAGCAGAGCCAGGGCAGGCAGCAGAAGAGCTGCCTAGGAGCTCCCTGGCTCAGAGGCCAGCACACAGCCCGTGCAGAACCTGCTCCATGGACATCCTGCCTGCCTGCAGATCTTCATCCAGCTGCTGTCTTAGGAAGGGCTTGCAGGGCAAGGCGGGCCATGAGCAGCACTCTTACACAGCTTTCAAAACATTCCAATGTGAGAAGATGAGTTCACGTGTGCTGTACAAACTGTGTTCCTTAGCTTTGCCTTAATTAGCTCTTTCTGTTAGCTTAAAGAAACAACAATAAGAAAAACAAACAGACATCTTCTCTCCCATTCACCTCACCCACAGCAAGGTTACGGCCCTCTGCACTGTATCCAAAGAAAATTCTGAAAAATACTTTCAGTATCAAAATGCTCACCGTTTCTTTTAGAACAAATCTCATTGACTCTAAATGGACGTCAGGTTGAAATAAACATGCTGATATCTTGGAGTCGCCATGTTACAATCTATTTAATTTCTATTTCCCCTAAAGGCAGGCGGGATTTGTCCAGCAGTGCCAGCCAGCACCACAGGGGTTCTTTTTTAAAACAAAAATGACCGAACCGATACCCGTCAGAGCTGCAATAAGCGCTCAGAAGAATTACGGAATTCCAGTCCAATCTCCATGTAAATTTTCTGAGGCCATTTTTCAAACTTCATTTTTCTCACTAAAACCTGATTTTCTAGTTTTTATGGCTTTTTTTCTTTTCTTTTTAAAAGGAAAAAACATGTGTGGGCTAGAAAGTCTGCTTGCAAGCTCTTGCCAAATGCTGAATTCTCCATTAGAAAATTTCAGGCAGCGATTTCAGGATTTCATAGTGCATGGAGTTCTAGTCACATACTTCTATTTTACTGCAACTAAAAAGAATTAATATTTTTAAAAACTATTTTAAAATAAACTTTGATTCTTTTTTCCCCTGATTTCTGGATAAAAATGAGAAAAGTCCCCTTCAGCATTTTAAGCTGTTCAAGAAAATGGAGCACATGCAGCCTGGGCTGCAGAGCCATCCCTTACAAATCCCAGTGCTGCATGTGCCACCATCGAGGTGCTTTGCATGGGATGGGCTCCCCCTGGACGGAGCCACCATGGGGTCAGCAGTGGATGAGAGATGCTCACGGTGCTCCCGTGTCCACTGGGCACATGGGTAATGCTGCTGACAGTCTGCGGGTGGAAAGGCACTGGAGCCAACTTTGAGGAAAAAACCAAGAATAATATTCCTGGTTAAATGAAGGACAAAACAAATAATTTCAGAAAAAATACAGCAGTGTTTTTCTTATAAGTTTCAGACTGAAAAGAAATGTGTGTATCAAATACTTTGATAGCACATTATATGTTTTGTCGTCAGCAGTTATTTTTTCTACGGCTCCTGTCTGTGTGAAAATATTTTAAGCTCATGCTTTAATTGCACCCTTAGGAATAAGAAGTTACTTTTATTTTCCCCCTCTAATGTTCCTCCTACTCTTTAAAAGGATGGATTTTCTCCCTCAGATTGTAACAAAACCACATCTGCCACATAAGTAGGCAGCATCTTCTCAGCTCTCTTTTACTGTTATTACCATTTCTGAGCAGATTTTTGTGTGTTAATTATAGAACTCAATTGTTTGGATAGTCTCTTTTGATGAGCTTTGTGCCCCGCACCATGAACTCCTCTGTTATTGTACAGCTGTTTGAGTTCCAAATGCTCATCAGGGTTTTCTAATTGTCAAGCTGTCCCAGCGACTAGTTCTTTTGACCTAAAAGTCAAAGAAAGGGAGTCACCCTTGTCTCCCCAACATGAATGCCAGGGGAGCCCCAACGGCCCCCCTAATGCCTACGAGACAATGCCTTTCCAGATCATTGCCACTACAAGCATAATTGGTTTTGGGTGAAATGAGAAGATTTTAAATAGGATGAATTAATGAGTTTCTTGTAAAATTAAGTCGTTCTCCTGGTCCAATCTAATTACTCACTGTAATGCCCCTGAGGGTGATAAATAAAGATCCTTAGAAGCCAGAGGGGAAGAAAAAAAAAAAAATAAAAGTGTCTTCTCTTCAGCCTTTCTTACAAGTCAGGTTGTAGAATTAGATGCAACCTACCAAATAATGTTTCCAAGTAAGGTCACATTCCTTTGATGTTCATGCTGCAACATCTTTACTGCCTATTTTACCTCCTTTTAAGAACAACTGTATAATTTCTACACATTTCTACACATTCTACACAGAGTTCCACGTCTTTAACCCCTCTCCAATGAGCACAGCAGTATTTCCACACGCCAAGCCCATTTTTCTATTGTACGAATGACAAGCAGAAGCACAAACACTCTTGCTAAAGACAATTTTGGGACTTTGGAGCAGTTTCCCTCCTTGTGCTGGCTCAGCCTAGATTGAACCCATCACAAGGTGAGGACAAAGGATGGTGTCAGTGACTGGTGGATGGATAGTTCAGTTTTTGCACCTGGAGAACAGGAAGCTCACCTGCTTACACCTGGCAGAAGCTGAAAGATGTGAGGAGCAGGTAGCCAGGGAGATCTCTGCTATGGAATTGGACCACCAGTACCATCCAAGGTCTCCTTCTGCATCCTTGGAAGAAAAGGGATGAGGCGCAGACCTCTAACTGCAGCTGCCAATTGCCACAGCACATCAAAGGTGTCAGTGCATGGCTGCTCCCTGTCAACAGGCAAAGCCCTCGTGCTCTCAGACACATCCCATCAGTACAATGTATGCCTGTTAACATACGCAGGTGCCCCTGTGACAATTCCAGGCCTGGAAGGCCAGGCAGCCAACCCAACCAGCAAAAACCAAGGCAAAGAAAGTGTTCAGGACCTCAGCCCTTCCTTGGGCACTGAGCCACTCAGCAGTGGCACCACTTTTTCCCCAGCCTACCTTCCAGCCTCACATTAGGAGGTTCAGCTGGGAAGTCTCTATCAAGGCACTGTAAAAGGAAAAGGAGCCCACTATTTGCTGCCCTTTTGTTTCATCTGAAATCAAAACAAGAAAAAAAAATTGAAAGCTAGAGATGAAGGGACTGGGTAAAAAAAAAAAAAAAACAAAAAACCCTGTCTTAGTGAGAAGTCAGCACTTTCCACGAGCAACAAAAATCCCAGGCTGCTCTGCTCTCTGCAGGAAGAAGTTTGCTAGGACCGGCAATAACAGGCGGAGCGGCCAGCGTTCGGGCAGCGGAAATGGGAAGGGCTGCTTGCTCTGCCAGGGCTGCAGGACGCCCTGCCCTGCCCACAGCCATGCGTCCGGCCCAGCAGAGAATGACAGGCACACACAGCTCCTGACGCCCAGGAGATTTAATGCACAAGGATGTGCTGCTGAGCTGGGGAACCAGACCTCAACGATTTTAATAAAAAATTCAAATTTTCATTAATTTACGAATTAATAAGAGTTTAAATCAAGATACTGTCTTTCTCTAATGCAGAAATTGGGCTGCCTTCCTTTGTTCAGTGCAGACAACCCTAGCGTTGCCAGCACGCCTGTGCAAGTGCTGAGAGCACCTTTAACATGGTACTGAGCTCAGCGCCGGGTGCTCTCCAGCTCCAGCTGCTCATGCTGTCACTGCATTCTATCACAGACTTCATCCAGTTTTGAAAGTTTAATCACCTTTCTGCAAGCTGGGAGATTTAGGAGATGAGTCAACTAATCAGTTTCAAATAATTACTCAATTAAAAAAACAAGTTGACAGCCTTCCTTGAACAGAAGCAGCAAGAGGAGAATCGCTAAACTAACAGATTTTAAGTCCATTTAAGAGGTTTTTTCATATTTTTTTTTAAATAAAAAGAATGATGGCATGACGGTTTTGTTTGTTTAAAGCGACTAGATTTTACAGAAAAAATATGAGTGAAGTGTTAAAATATACAGTGAAAGCTGTTTAACTGCCCTGAATCTCCACATTAACAAGCCCTAATCCTGCTTACAAGCTCCTCTCCCCAGCTGTGTAAAAGCGCTGATGGGAACAGAGATCCCCATCTCGAAGCGCTGTCCGGCCAGCGGGGGATTATCTCTCATCTCCTAAATCTTGACAACTCTGTAAAAAGGCAATTAAACTTCCTAAATTAGATAAAGCCTGAGACAGAGTGCTGTACAGTTTGACACTGAAAGGCCTAAAACTACTATCACGTATCCCCAACATCACCAGTTAACACATATGCTTGCTCCTAACTGCCATCATCTGAAGTTTTGCACTGAAAATAAGTACTGATTAAGGCATTAAAGATAAATAAGAAGTTATTTTCTATTATTTAATAATATATGCTAATGAGACATTGCAATTTGCCTTAAGTAATTATTGCATTAATCCCCTCCAAGGAATTTCCTATTGACAAGAATTTGTGGATTCATTCTGCACATAAATCCTTTAATGCTGTTTCCTTTGTGCAAATGGAATGCCACTCACTGCAGCAGAGCTGTAATGTTTTCTGCTACTGTTTGAACTCCTATCACAACCACAGGAGCCAAGTCCTCCCAGCTAACCGGAAAGCTGATAGCTCTAGAGCTACAGCAAGATGCCTTAATATGGTTTAATCATCACATCCTCTCTAAATGGTCGTACAGCATGTTTAAAAAAAAAAAAAAAAAAAAAAAAGCTATTTTTGTCTTCCTAGAGAATTGCTTGACACAAAGGTTTTGGAAGATGCCTAAATATAGACAGTTCTGATGAGATCAGGGTCTAAGCAAGATAACAACTCTGCACTATTTTTGACCGTTTCACAAAGACACTGGAACACAATGGCTTCAAACAGATGCTGCTTCGGCTTTCCCCAGCACTAGAGGAAATAGAGGAGGTACTGCTGAGAGGCTCCCATCAACAGCACTGTAAAAAACTATCAATCCTCTACTAAGTAGTACATCAATCAAAATAGTGCAGTGCAAATCATGATCCATTAAGTACTTCACACTTGATTACCCATGACATTTTAGAGAGGGTCATACATTGATGAGTTGCTTCTCTCTTCTTTGCCCTTTGCTGTTTGGAGTGCATGACCACTTCTAGTTCATTACTGATGCAAAGATTATCATGAAGCTTAATTTCAACAAGACAGGAAAACAGCAGCTCAATTGTTTGTGCTTTTCTCCTTAGATTTCCCAAGCTGTACATTTCTCCATTCTATGCAATCACACTTTGCAGAAGTGCCCAAAACGGCTGCTGTGCAAGTGCACCTTATTTGAACTCGGCATTCTCTACCAAAGATTTTTTGAAAGCAGAGAAGAATGACTCAAACTCCCACCATTTCTCTAGATACCTCTTTTTACCCAATTCTGAAGATGAGGTTACGGATTTGTTTCAAACTCATATCCAATTCAGAAAACAATATACAATATACAGAGAGGCATCTTGGAGTTGACCTTCTACATTTGTTCTCACCTAAGGCCTGGCGCCTCTCAGCAATGTGTGATCTCATGGCTACAAGGGCTGCAGGGTTTCTGTAGGTCTCTTTACTCCAGTTCCTGGCTCTGTCAGATACTGAGCACAGCTTCCTAACCTTCCTCTTCCATCCATAGTGATGATGTGTATCATCGTTTGAAGAGAAAACATCATTCTTTTGCTTTCCAGCAAATCTGGCCTCACAATCTGCTAAGTAAATTTCAGGTCATCTCCCCGGGGATCACGGATGCACACACCCTCTTCCAGTAGGAGGTAGTGGTAAGAAAGCAGCATCGAGGGGAAAGCAAGGCTGCTCCTCTGGGACCACTTCACTGACCTCTACAACTTCACAGACACCCAAAGTATAAACCCAATATCGCCGCCTCAGTCTATGCACTTATAAAGCAGCAATAAAATTCACAATAGAAACGCTGAAAAGCTGTTGTGAGGTTTAATTAAGCAATGAGTGTGTACAGAGCACCCTGAGATCTCCAGATAACAAGGCATCCATGTGAGAGAGGTGATTACTTCTGATGAAACAAACCCACGGCAGCAGCGTGGCACACTCAGCAGGGAATCTGCTGGGCTGCCTCTGCCCTCCTCTCACAGTGAAAACGGAGCCCACAGAAGCTGTTTACCTGCTCTCTGGCAGGATGGTTAGGGGCAAGGCAGAGAAATACCAGCACAGGCTGTATTGCTCGGAGCTGTGAAACCATCCCTGTTTGAAAATCAAAGGAGCTGGGTATGCTCCTGTCAATGAGCCTTTCAGTAGGGAGGAATAATTTAGAAAGAATAAGAGAGGAATAATTTAGCAAGAATAGGTGGAATCCCCCACCTTGGGGTGATCTGGTGGCTGCAAGGGGAAACGGATTTTGGCAGTTCCCACATTCTTTTGTCAAACTCCTCTTGTCTGGGAAAGAACAGAGTGCCAGAAGCCCTTGCAGGTGAATACCTTTGCTGTTTCAAGTTCACTTGATTTAGAGAGATAGCACGTTTATCTGGATGTTTGGAAAGTTATTAATGAGATCAGCAAATCCTTTCCATGTATAAATTATAAATCACCTTCAGCAGTGCCATGCAAATTATCAAGTCAAGTGAGAACATGCCTATTTATCTGTGACAGTCTTTTATCACCAACAAATAAAAGCAAGAGAGGGAAGCACCTGTGGAGAAAGACATCACCAACAGCACTGGGGTGCAGCGTCAGGTCACGAATAGCAGCAGGACCTCTGGCTGGGGGTCATCTCTCGCAATGATGTGAAGGACGTGCCAGCCCAGGCACAGCCACAGCCCCAGGAGAGCAGCAGAGGTGCAGGTTGCACTGCAGGGCGCGGCAGGGAGATTTCAACTACAGCGCAAGGGCAGAGGAGGGCAGTGCTTGCAGGGCCAAGAGCTGGGCCGCAGAGAGCCCAGTATCCCCAGCACTGCAGCTATGGCTCCTCAGGAGCTGAAGTAACAGCCAGTGCCACTGAAGGAACAAGAGGCCTCTCTCCCCTGTGGAAGGCCCCAGGCCATGCAGGAGCTCCCATGGAGCACTAGAGCCAGCCCCAGCCCGAGTGGCGGCCAGGCCCTGAGTCACGACATGGGGACAGGCAGCGCCAGCCTGCAGGGCCTGTACCCACATCATGGGGATGCAGAAAGGCCTCATGTCCCATTGCGGTGTGATGTCACGTGGCTGACAATTAGGGGAAAGCGGCAAAACGAACACAGTTTTGCTTGTAATCTGGAAAGGCATCCGTCTCCTACAGAACTACTGGCAAATAAGCTTACCAATAACATCACATTTTTGGCTCAGAAGCCCTCGTGGCTGACACAATTGAGCTATTAATTCAAATATCTACACAATACGTAGATGAGCACAAGATAATAAACAAAGAAATTCATTGCGGTAAGCAGCAGCTGTTTAGAAATGGCCAAAAGCACCACTGACTTCAATCCAGGCCACAAAAATTCACTCTGGGAAAGAAACCTGGCCCTGAGTCTGGCCAAGGCCCCAGCGCTCCGTGCCGGTGCGTGACTCACATCCTTCCCATCAGCCACGCTCTCCCTGGTCTGATAAGCTCTATCAGTTCATGGCTCTCACGAGCACAACTTATCTAGTCTCAGTGCATCATATCAAGACTTAATTCTGCCTCGACAATTAACAGAATGCTATCAGTAGTATCCCAATTGCATCTTGGATAGCCCAGGAGACTGAGGCACTGTCAATTAGGTAACATCACACCTACATGACACAGACACCTGGGTGCACAAGGCCATCATCTCTTTTCCGCACACACAATTCACTTTCCCATGTCACAGATGTACAGAGTAACTTTTGCTTCCAAACTTCAGCCAAGCAGACATGTTCCCCCTCCTCTCCGTTTGTTACTATCTGTCAGTTCATCTCAAACTAGAGAAACCCATCCTGAGGAGACCATCAATTCTCACCATCAATTTGTTAGGTACCCCAGACAGGACCACTGTTTGCTTCAGTTTTCAAACAGCATCACTACATTACCAAAATCCATATTACCCTACCAGGAAAACACAGGAGAACCTGTTCTTTTGAATCCTAATGCTCAGACCAACATACTGATTTTCTGTGTTCTTTACTTGCAATC